AAAAAAAAAAAAAAAAAGATAAAAACTCAGCATCAGCCAGTGGAAAACTTTACACTGTGCCAACATACGAATACATCACTGTTCACTGGAAACACAGAGAGATGATTCACTTAATTTAGTTCAAGTTAATCCGACAATTTTACCTTGAAAACACTTTTATTTTGCGAAGCTTTAAAGGTGCAGTGTGTAGAATTTAATGACATCTAGTGGTGAAGTGTCATGTAGCGGTCGATTATGCCTCATTTTAAACACGAAAGAGAACCTGTGGTAGTCTTCACTTGTCATAAAAAGTCAAAAGGTCTTTAGTTTGTCCAGTCTAGGCTACTGTAAAAAAACATGGCGGTCTCTGTATAAAGGACCTGCTCCAGATGTAAATATAAAGTATTTAAATATAAAGATTCCAATTTGGAGTAAAGAAAACAACAATTAGTACAATTTAGATGAAACACACGAGTGAAAACATCACTAGGACTGTTTTATATTCAATTTCTGCCTTTCACCTAAATCTTACACACTGAACCTTTAGCTCAACTGTTCAGATGCCATATTAAAAGTGTCTCACTGTACTCAGCATTAAACAGAGGCTGCGAGGACCCCCTAACATCACCACTGTATCACTTTCAAAGACATTCACATCTGAATCAGTGTTTTAAGTGGCCGCTTGGATTCAAAAGCCTCTGATATCTGAGGAGAATGTCGGCACTCTATTGAGAATGTGCGCGCTTGAATACCGCCAGTTGATGAATAGATCTCTCCATTATCTTTCCCCATCGCTCACTGACCCCTCCATTATTGGGTGACTGCTGACTGCGGTGAAGGGGGGCCCGAGGAGAGCACTTCCCAGGGCTCTCCAGGGCAGTGGGCTTGGCCAGAGCTGTCAGTGCATGTAACTGCTGATTCATTTGCTGTCAAAAGCTCGCATTGTGAGTGACCACCACAGGAGGCAACGCGAAAGAGGCGGAGAGAAGGTTTCCGCAAGGAAGGAATGTGTAACTATTTCATTTGCAGGCTTTGGGATAAAAAATCCACACCAGACCACAGCACATGACTTGTGGTCTCGCTGTGATGTTTGTGTGGCGATTAGGGAAACAAATGGTTTATGCTGGACAAAGGTCTTCTTTATTGTGCGGGCTTGCTTCAATTAAAATAAAGTTTTACCCTGCAGGTATACGCTCACCTGTACCTCCCCATCTGGAAATCCAAAGCCTTTCGCAAGAGTAGGATGAGCACTGTGACATTCTGGTCTCACGGAAGTGAAACCATTGTCAAACGTCTTTGATCTATGTGATCTGGTTCTCTGTCGGCCTGAGGATGAAATGGCCTGGTGATCGTGACAGATCTCGCCATCAGAGAGGGGCCCTGCCGCAAGAGGAGATTTGGCTCTGTGTGCTGGGGATGGCGTGCTGGCAGAGGGGGACTCCTCCTCTGTGCTCCCCATCCTCACAGGGTCCCGAGAGTCTATCAGAGGACGCCGGGTGCTCCTCATCCTCCTCAAAGTGGGAGAGGTGGAGATGCGTGCGGGGGCCTGCCGGTCAAACTGGAACAAAGGTGCTACCAAACTGTCACTGTCCACCAGAGACGAAAGTCTCAGCTTGGAGTGTGTCCGTGTGAGATCTATGTGCATAATGACTGGGTTGCTGGTCTGGCTCTCCTTGTGCTGCAAGGGCCCCCAGTCCGTTTGAGTCTGTGCGTTTGCGACACCTGGGGCCACAACTTCATTCTCGGCCCATTCGATGTAACTCCAGTTCAGCGTCTTCTCGACGTCCTCGTCTTTGCCCTGCAGAATAACGTGCTTCAGCGTAGACATTGTAGCCTCACAGGCATGGTAGTGCGGCAGGGATCAGAAAAACGTGGGATCTGACGGTCTGGTCTGGTTTCGCCTCCTCTGGGTTAAGGTCAGATGATAATCCTGTCGCATTCCAACACTCTTCACACCGTGCACCTCTCAAGCCTCTGGGAGAAAAAAGCAGAAAATGCGTCAATACACACGCAAAATAAAGCAGACTGGGCACAGACTTAGCTCCTATAATCTTCTGAGAGGGGATTTGATCAGGGGTGTGCAGAAGTCTTATAGATTTAAACGACAATAAGGTGCAATAATTTATGTGTCTGTGGAGCTGGATTAGACTTGGTCCTGATGCTACAGCACAAATATCACAGTGAGCAGTACACATGTGCTGCACAGTTTAAATCTAGGAGACACACAGAGGGGAAGGAGGCAGTGCACCAAACTCCAGCTCCTCTGTCTCTGTCTCTGTTGTGTATATGCTGACATTTACTTTCTACTGCACAGAGCATATCTGCTACAACGTATAATAAAGTCTCTACTGCTGTTTGCCCACCAGGTAAGATTCGTGTTATTGTTTAATCACATCCACGAGGTAAGGAACGTTTAAAAGAATAAAACATTCAGCTGCGTGAAAACAAACTTCTTTAAATAAACTTTAACGTGAGAAAGTCTGGTTTACTTACATGCACCGGCGCCACGCGACGACTTGACCGACTGGTCTAGGAGTGAAGCTGGGGAGAGAGAGAGAGAGAGGGAGGTAACACTGACTCACACACACTCTGTATAAAGAAGCTCACTGATCCAGAAGCAGAGGAGAGTCTTCGTCTTTTTCTTCTTTGGTTTGTGTGAGAGACAGACACAGAGAGAGAGACAGAGAGAGAGAGAGAGAGAGAGAGAGAGAGAGAGAGAGAGAGAGAGAGAGAGAGAGAGAGAGAGAGAGAGAGGCTCCAGCTGCTGGTGGCGACGGATCAGGTCCGAGTGGAGGGAGAGGAGGAGGTGGAGGGAGAGGAGGAGGAGGAGGGAGAGGAGCCGATCACACTGCTGCTGCTGCTGGAGGAGGAGGAGGAGGAAAGGTGCGATCGTTCAGACTGACTGCATGGAACATTATGCATGGAACATTAATGTCTCTCTCTCTCTCCCTCTCTCACACACAAATGACATGTGTCAGTGTGTTTCTGTCTCAGTGCTGTCACAGGAGATGAAAACAAAACACTTCTCTACCTGCCTATTATATTTATAAATAGAATATATGAATAAAGCCTATTAATATATGTGAAAGCTATATATTACTGCATTGACTACACATTAGCTATCAATGCTCCAATGTGTTTCCATTTGAAACAAAATCATTATTGTGTATTTATCAAATATCTTATGATCAGCATATTCAACATCCAGTTAAAATTGATTTAACTCTTTAGGTTTTTTAAAATGTTCTTTTTATAAATAAGAATTAAATATGACATTTTGTGTTCTCCTTTTTTAACTCATAAAACCCCTGTGGAGAAATACTCAAATCAAGAGGTGTACAAGTACCTTACACATGTACTCGAGATCAGTAGTTGAATGAATGTACTGTGTATCTTCTTTAATGTGTATATAAGGAAGTAATGTGTATTTCTTTCATTAGGGAAATATTACAGTGAATTTATAATATATAGTATCTATGGGTAATACATGGTTCAGCCACATAAGCCATTTTTAAAGGAACTGAAGTGTTAGTGTTAACAGTGAAGTGTTATTTAACTTCTTATTTTCTGTTATAGATTACTTTGAATTACAATGAGTATCACACTGGTTCTGCCTGTAAACATGTTTACTTCCCAGATGACGTGTATTAGTTTGCATGTAAACATTAATGTTGGCATACAAACATTTCAGTTTGTATAATTTGGTGACGTTACAGCATAAAAAGGTCAGTGGTAATCTGTGTCTCACCTGCAGACTGTGTGTATGTCCTGAAGAACCAGTCTTTGGCTCTAGTACAAAATAACCTTTCATGGCCCCCTTGTTTGTATTTAACACAGACAACAGCAGCTGCGTTACCTGGTACTTCCCTAAGATGAACACTAGAGGGTGATATAGTTCAGATAATGGGATTGTCTGTGTGAAATTTGCTGCAGACAACCAGTGACCTCTGGTGTATGAATACAGGTAGTACATTAAAATATCCTGCATGAGCCTCTGCCACTGTTTCACTTTTACTGCAGCTCATTTAAATCATCTACTGCTGGTCAAAGATACTTTACTTCAGTACAAGCACTATTACAACATTGTAAAATTACTCATCAAAAGTAAAATACTTCATTCAAAACTCAGCTCTAGTTGAAGTACTGTGTTACCAGCGAAATCCACTCAATATATTAGAAGTAAAAATACCCATTCTCTTCCCTGAGACTGATATATATTAGTGCATTACATTATTGCTTCATCAATACTGATGCATCCAAGTATATGCAGCATTTTAATGTTTTAGCAGGCAAAGGTGGAGCTATGTTTAACTACTTCACATATTTAGTCTGTAGAATATTATGGTTTCAAAAGGAAGAGTACAATAATTTGTGGTATTATATGAAATAGAGTCCGTTTGGTCATTCAAATGAAGATTGTATCTTAGGACAAATTCATACAAAAATGCAGGTAACTCCAAAGTCCTTCTTCTATTGAATGAAGGTATTTTTTTCCATTCCTGGTTGTTGTGTATTTCAGGCCAGATGTTGGTCTGAACAAATGAACAAAGCAATGTCAGAACAAAAGACTTTTAAGATGAGAAACAACAATGACAATGTGTTGCTTTGGTATGAAGAGAAAAGGACACTATCATTTTTTGTGTACTTTTATTTGTCAGTCTTGCTCCTGTATCTGTGTGGAGACCTGCACTGGACACATTGAAAAACACACTCACTCTGACCATGTTTGCACAACCCTACATTTTTTGGATGAAAATAAAAGAAACAATTTTAAAACACGTCAAGAGACTGTTAATGTGTGATTACTGCAGTTGCATCGCCATCGTTCTCAAGACTTTTGCTTTTACTTTTAATGTATTTCACAGTTATTTCCTGAGGGAGACAGCAGGTGCTCAGATTTCTACAATTTCTGAGCTGCTGGTTTACTTCACTTCAGCTGTATGGAAAACTTTGAAACTATTTAATGTTAGACGGCATAATTAAAACCAACAAAGTCTTATTTGATTGGCTTGTTTTGAGAAGTAATTGTGGAATGACCTGCAATAAAAGCTGTGGTAGAAAAAATTTGCAGAATTAAATATTGTTTTAGAAAATACTGTCATTTAATAATTCCATTTAGCCTATTTAATACTGCGCACTATGTGTCTACACTGTTACTTATACAATATTATCTGCTTGTCTACTTATACACACACACGCACACACACACGCACACGAGACAAAATATTATGTTTTGGTCAAAACAGTTATAAGTCTTAAAGTGCAATATTTATATGGAAATAAGTTGGCCTCATTTCTTTAAAGGTTCAGTGTGTAGAATTTAGTGACATCTAGTGGTGAAGTTGCATGCTGCAGCTGAATACCCGTCACCTAACCCTCTCCTTCCGAACATGAAACAGAACCTGTGGTAGTCTTCAGTTGGATAAAAACTCAAAAAGTGTTTAGTTTGTCCAGTCTGGACTAATGTAAAAGACATGTCGGCCTCTGTATAGAGGACCTGCTCCTGGTGTAAATATAACATATTTAAATAGAAAGTGTTTTTCGAGGGTCCATAAAACAACAATATGTGCAATTTAGATGAAACACACTAATGAAAATATCTCTAGGATTATCTTATATTCACTTTCTGCCATTTGATCCACTTTCTCTTAAATCCTACACCCTGGACCTGTGAGTGTATTGATTGGATTTTATGATCAAGTCGAGTTTGATCCTCTATAGTTATCTCTATAGTAGAGTTATCTGCCTCCACAGGTACATTGGGATGTGAAGTTTCCAGTGATGTGATGAAGGGCAGCTCCTCTTCATCGGAGGCCCTGTGATCTGAATGAAAACAAAAACATGTCATTGAGCGGAATTGGCTCAGAGCTCTGACAGCAGCAGTCTCCTCCCCCTGAAGTGGATGTGAAGAGGAGCCCTCTCTCTCTCTCCCTCTCTCTCTCGGCTCTGCCCCACATACAGGAAGAAGTTAAAGAAGTGTAAAGAAAAAGAAAACAGCAACAACCCAGACACAGTGTTTTGACCCACACGTCTTCAGCAGCGTGTGTGTTTTAGTTTCTCTGCCTCCCTCGCCTCCTGTCTGGCGCCCTGGCTGAAATGCAGAAGAGGAAGAGGAGGTGAATGTGAGGAGGCGCTGCCGTAACGCGTGTGGATTACTTTTAGACGAAGGCAGGAGCCAGACTTTCACGCATGGAGAACCAGGGGGGATCTTCGTCGTAGTTTGCGCAAAGTTGAAGAAGAACCATGTCAGAGCACAGATCCAGTTTCCTCCACATCGGAGACATTGTGTCTCTTTACGCGGAAGGCTCGGTGCATGGCTTCATCAGTACTTTGGGGTATGTTCCTATGTGCTTCCCCTCTTATTCTCACCTTTAAACCCCCATACGTGCTGTGTTTTTAATCCCTTCGCTGCTTCTGTGTCACTTTCTTCATCTCTGGTCGGCCACTGTGAGCCGATCGAGGAAGAGGTTGGTGTGTGGGACTTGCTGTGGCACAGGCCTGTCAACGCGTAATCTGCCGCCTCTCAGGAAATTCTTCACGTTTACGCAAATGCAACAGGAATGCAAAGCAGCGTGTCGCCCAGGTAGACAGCTAAAGGTCACCAGAGATCTGTGTGGCACTTAGTAGTCAAAGTAGGGACCCGGGGACCCACAGGAGGACACGAAAAGAAGCCAGGGAGGCCGGATTAAAAAAGTGTGGGAGATCCAGTTATTAAAATCAAATTATATGCAGAGGAAATTCAACAAGATAATCAGAGTAACTGAGACATTAACATGCATTTAAGTTGTGTCTGTATGTGAGTTTAGTAGCTTTAAAGGGCGTCAAGTGTTTCCCCTGAAAATACTGCGATTATATTCATTTCATTTCCATTCCTTCATTGTCACTGCTCAGTGTTCAATGATAAGAAGTGTCCCTGTGGTGCAGACTTGTAACGGTAAAATAGATAAGTATAAAAAACACCAGCGATCAATACAAACTTCAGGAAACTGAAATAAGAGAGTGACACAAACTGTTAAGTAGCTGTCGTTTTCCATATTGTTTACTACAAAAGTTAATTTTTGATAATATATGAACCTCATTTTGATTTCAGAGGGAGTGATATTCACCTGAAACTATGTTTGCCACCATGTGTAGCCACTAGGCCCTCAGTTAACGCTGTGCTGATCAACATGAGGATGAAGACCCCTCCAATGGTCGTAAATATGAGGAGTGATCACATGAGCGATCTCAAAGCCCATCATCTGTTGTCTGTCAACAGATTTGCCTCTGGGGGCCACAACTAATATTTTAGGGCTTCCTGTGTAGACAGTGGATATCCAGGCCACGACTCATTCTTCTGTTCCTCACTGTTTACAGTCTGTTTCATACAAACACAAACAGTGATTCTTCTTGTAGGTGTTTTAACTCTACACCACACTTTGGCTGATCTCTATTAACAGCTACCTGCATATGAATGCAGATAAATTAAAAAGCTGATAGCCGGTTTGTGTTCTGCTTCCTTTGCTCTCTACACTTTATGTGTGCGAGCGAACACAGGCTGCTCAAACTGCTAGAAACGAACACTTGAACACTTCTGGCCCCCAAATTTTGTCCCTTGCCAACATATTCCACTGTAGAATTTGTTTTTAGAGATTACCAGAGACATTTTCTTGTAAAATAATCTCTTAGTAATAATTGATCAAGTTAAATTGATATCTGTA